CCTCCGATGGAAGAAGACGAGATGGTTAAATACTTTCTTCAAGCCCTGGAGCCCACTTACTATGGCCACTTGATCTCATCCATTGGTAAGTCTTTCAATGATGTGGTGAAAATGGGAGAAATGGTGGAAGAGGGGCTCAAGTCGAGTAAGATCATGAGCTATTCTGCTATAAAAGCAACCACCCAGGCAATCCAGAGTGGTACCGGAAGTNTACCCAAGCAATCCAGAGTGGTACCGGAAATTTGCTAGGCAAGAAGAAGAAGGAAGATATCGCTATGGTTGTCTCCGGATCATGGCATGGCCAGAGGGGTTCACCTCATCAATACACCCATCCTNCCAGCTCCACAAAATACCTATCCACCCCTACAAGCCTATCAAAACCCTATTGGTTCAAATTTTCGATCAAGGCCAGAGTATAGGAGAGAGAGGCAACAGCGGAAACAAACTTTTACCCCGCTTGAAGAATCCTATGCTAGTCTGTTTCAAAGGTTAAGGCAGTTGGACGTCTTAAGGTCGATTGAGTCAAAGATACCAAATCCCCCTCCAAAGAACCTCGATTATTCCCTAAGATGTGCAAATTGTTCTGATGCTCCAGGGCATGACATAGAGAAGTGTTGGCATTTGAAATGGGCAATCCAGGAGCTCATTGATACAAACCAAATTGTAGTCCAAAGCCCAGACGCACAAAACATCAACCAAAACCCTTTGCCAGCCCATGAAGAGACACATATGATTGAAATAGTTCACAAGGATGGGGAGCCCAAGAAGTCTTCTAAGTCTGTTATGATGATTCAGGCCAGTGAAAGCAATTTGGTTAAAGATCCAGACTCTACCAAAGCAACGCCCTTGATAGTTGAAGGGGTGACAGAAAAGACGAGCTCACTCAATTCTAAACCACCAGTGTTGGTCGTGAAAGGGCTGTCGAAAGATAACGGGGCAAGTCCGGAAAGTTCAAAAGTGGTAGTACCAGAGATCCAAGTAAGCCTGTCATAGTTGTGAAGGGGGCTCCTATTACCCCTATCATCATTAAACCAGTGACCCAGCTGCTAGTGGTGGATGCAAAGGCTGTTCCATGGAATTATAAACAAGTGATAGTGACATACAAAGGAAAAGAAATAGAGGAAGAAGTTAATGAAACTAGAGGATTGACTCGTTCTGGGAGATGTTTCACCCAGAAGAATTGAGGAAAGCCAAGCCATTCAAGGATAGCCAAATGCCAGTAAAGAAATCGGTCACCGAGGAAGAGGCTGTGGAGTTCCTAAAAAATATAAAAGTGCAGGATTATTCCATTGTGGAGCAATTAAGGAAAACACCAGCTCAGATTTTTCTTTTGTCTTTGTTGATACATTCAGATGAACATCGCAAGGTCTTGATGAAGATTTTGAATGAGGCATATGTTCCTGATAAGATCACAGTGAACCACTTGTAAAAGATAGCTGGCAAGATCTTCAAAGCAAATAGGATCACTTTCTCGGATGATGAACTTCCTATGGAGGGTACATAACACAACTGAGCTCTTTATCTCACGGTGAAGTATGGAAATTCTGTTGTCTTAAGGGTTTTGGTTGATAATGGCTCTAGTGCGAATATTTGTCCCCTGTCTACTCTGCAAAAACTGAAGATTGGCACCGAAAGAATCCACTTGAACAGTGTATGTGTTCGAGGCTTTGATGGGGGAGGTAAAGATTCTGTTGGAGATATAATGCTCGAATTGTCGATAGGGCCTGTTGAGTTTACCATGGAATTCCAAGTGTTAGATGTGGTTGTCTCCTACAATCTGTTGTTGGGCAGGCCCTGGATACATACTGCTAAGGCAGTCCCGTCTTCTCTGCACCAAATGGTGAAGTTTGAATGGGACAGGCAGGAAATAGTTGTGCACGGTAATGAGGACTTGTCAGCTTGTAATGATACAATTGTTCCGTTCATCGAAGCTGAAGATGATAAGGGACCTTGGGTCTATCAGACTTTCGAGACAATGTCTGTTGAGAAAATTCCAGAAGGAAAATGCATTCCGGGTCCTAAGCTATCCTCCACGTCCGTCATGGTTACGAATGAAATGTTGAAGAATGGTTTTGTGCCGGGCAAGGGTTTGGGCTCATCTCTGCAGGGTATTGTGCATCCATTACGTCCTAGTGGGAATCCAGGTATGTTTGGTTTGGGATTCATGCCCACATAGAAGGACGTGAAAAGGATTAAATATTTGAAACAGAAGGTATGGTCGGTCCCCAATCCCGTCCCACACATCTCTAAGTCTTTTGTCAAGCCAGGGGCCAAAAAACCTCCAACTTCCTCAATCCCAAACCTGTGGTCGACGTTGATGAAGAGCTGATCAAGAGGTTCCAAAGTCTGTTCGAAGAGGTCAATATGGTAGAAGTTGGTGAAGGCTCTAGTAAAGCAGATGTGCAGCTCGTTGGCCCAAACGTGAAGCTTAGCAATTGGGAAGCTACTCCTCTCCACACTAGGAAGGAGTTTTGGTAGTTTGCTTTGTTTTCCTTTCTATTATCTGGGTTATTCCAGGGTTGTAATCCAGATTTTTAGTTTTTACTTGTTTTGATGTTCAAACCATTCTATCCTTTTATTTTTCAATGAAATGCAATTTCCCGTTTTTCGTTATTCTTAATAGTGTTTTATTTTGTTCTTGTTTCTTTTATACAGTTCCTTTTATGCTGGTTGCAGTGAAGGACCCTTCAGAATGAAGCATGGCAGTGGCGGAAGCAGACGCTCAGCAATGATGCCACAAACTAACCACCACGTTTTCAAACTAACAAGATTTTTCTGAAACAGGGGCAAGATTTTTTTTTATTCCACAGGGACCTCCCATGGAAAAGCATGGTTCAGAGAGCAAGAAATTCTGTTCAGAATCCTCCAAGATGAGAGCATGGCTCAGGTAAGTTCATTCTCAGTTCTCAGGACCCTCCTAGATAATGGGATTTAATTTAAAAGCTTTCAGGACCCTCCTAGATAATGAGATTTAATTTTAAAAGTTCTCAGGACTCTCCTGGATAATGGGATTTAATTTAAAATTTTCAGGACCCTCCTGGATAATGGAATTTAGTTTTTAAATTTTCAGGACCCTCCTGGATAATGGAATTTAGTTTTAAAGCTTTCAGGACCCTCCTGGATAATAAGATTTAATTTAAAGTTTTCAGGACTCTCCTGGATAATGTGATTTAGTTTTAAGTTTTAGCGTAAGTTCTCCCTTTAGAAAATATAATTTAGCTTTAAAGTTATCACTCTTAAGATGAGATTTAATTCGAAGTTTTCAGGGCCCTCCTGGATAATGGGATTTAGCTTTTAAATTCTTAGAGATATGTAGATAACATGATCCGATTAACACTCACAAATATGCCCAGATCCCAAACTGGGCCAGAAAAATTTCTTTTGTTTTGAATATTTTGTAGCAATCAGGCACCCACCTGGATAACGAGGGAATACAGTTTCAAGTTTTAGCAATCAGGCGCCCACCTGGATAACGAGAGAATACAGTTTCAAGTTTTAGCAATCAGGCACCCACCTGGATAACGAGGGAATACAGTT